GATAAATAAATGTTGCATCAGAATTTAGGCTTGCTATTAATTTCAGGCCTATAACGCATCACTTTAAAACAGTTAATTTGATACATTCTAATAAAAAAAAAACAAAGTAATACATAAAAATGTTTTAATATAATAAGAATTACTTTTTACTTATTTGATGCATCAATTTTTTTTTCATTCCACAGGAACAAATATTGTCACCTATTAGGCTTTATAGAAAATATATGAGAAAGTTGCTTTCAACAAATGCCAATATCGTGCAAATCAATGATAAACGATGTACTTAAAAACGAATTAACATTACCACAAATTAAAAATTAATTTTAAAAATACCAAAGAAAAAAGGAGATAGAAAGGATTTGAAGAGTAGAAAAACTTTGCAAAAATTTATTTCATGAAAAGATTTAATTTATGGAAGTAAAAAAAAGACACGAAGAAAATGGAGCAAAATTAACCAATAATTTCTTTTTAGGAATAAGTGCATTCTTTTTTTTTTCTTCGTTCATAAAGAATAAATGAATTTATGGAAAAATTTTGAAGTGAATAATGTAAAAATTCAAAAATTTATCTTAAAATGAAAAGATAAGCAAAAGAGATAGAGAAAATGGGAAAATTTCTTCGTTTGTTTTTTTGTTTGTTTGCTTTTTTTTTTTTTGTTTGTCCATTCTTTCGTTCTCGTCCTATCATATACAGGTCTCTCATGAACTGAAAAGATTGAGGATAATGTGTGAAACAACGGGTTTTTGAATAATTCATTTTAAATTCCTAAACATCATCATTCATCCAGTTTTTTTTGTTCTTCCTTTATATATATATATATGTATGTCGGTTGTTGCAGTGGAACCGGAACATTCGCATGAATTCATTCGTCTAATAAATCTATCCGTCATTAATATCATTGCAGTCATTATCACCATTTACTACTACCGAATATCCTGTAAATACTGAAGACAACCGGAACAATCAATATCGTTTTCATTTATATAAAAGCTGCCATTTTACATTAAAAATTCTATTATCATTGTTATTATTATTATTGTCACTATCATCATCATATCACCATATTGTCATCTTCATCATTATAATAATCATCATATCATCGTCGTCATCAACACGTTATCATTGTCATTATTATCAGTTCATGATCATGTCATTATCAGCATATTATTATCGTTATATCGTCGTCACTGTCATATCATCAATATATCATTATTCTTATCATATCATCATCATATCACTATCGTTACCATTATCATATTATTATCATGGTGGTCATCACCATCATGAAATTATCATCGTGTCGTCATCATCATATCATTATCATCATATCGTCATCATCATCACTAAATTACATCTTTGTTACGAACATAGGTTCGTCAAGTGTGTACCACTACATTTGTTTATCGATTAATTAGCAATATAATTCAAGTTATTTTAACAAAGTTTTCTTGAATCAGTTATTTTCTTACTTTTCTCTCCTTAATTTTCATGAAATTTGTAATTGAGAATATTACAATTCAATTTTAAATAAGGACAGCATTATTTGAGTTATTCTGTAAAAAATCTTCCTTTTTCTCAATTTTCCATCAGTAATCAATCTGTTATGGTAAAGTTTGATGGAGAAAAAGATTATACATTTAGGTTGTTATACTCCGATTCTAAATTTTTAATTTGATGTTTTTTTTTTCTTGAATTGTTGACGAATCCGTTATTCAAATCTGATGTTTAGTTAAAATTAAAAAGGAAAAAACTAATTTAATCAATTTCACTTTGTCGTGAAATTTTCATTTCTAGTATTTTTAGACAATATTCCGTACTGATAATTAAATCATAATGATGATTAAAACAAAGACAGCCGCCTTTTCGGCTATTGTTACTTCGATTATTACGATAACTTTTATATTTGCTCAAATACATCAATTTTTTGGTTCTGTAACGATGTTAAAATATAAACTTGCTGCAAATATGGATGAATTTATGGTTATGCAAGTGAGTTTATTTCATTCAGTAATATCATAGATATTCAAATTTTGATAATTAAATTATTTCATAGCAATTTTTTATATTTTCAACTTACGAATCCTTTTCATTTTAATTCATCCAAATTAAAATTTTCACCGCATTGACCTATTGACATATTTGTAATAACAGATTCGTTCCAGCAAACTGTCCAAGCATATTTCCCGAATTTTCATCAAACTAATAATAATGTCTGTCAGCTGATTTGAAAAAATAAAGATGGAAATAAAAAATTAAAAAAAAAATGAAAAAATGAATCAATTATTAATTATTAACAGCATATGTATTATAAAAAATTTTTCAAATATTTTTTTTGATTGTTTTCAAAAAAAAATGTTCATAGTTTATTTTCTACTAATTACTACTAAAATTTGTTGTCGAGATTTTTTCAAATCATGAATTCTATCAATTTTTAATCAGAATTCCTACTTTTTATTAGACAATAATAATAAGTACAAAGGTCACAGAATATTGCATTTTGTAAGAAAAGTTATAGCATTTGAGTAAAAACATCCACTGTCCTACCAAAGAAGTTAGACTAAAATTTGGAAATGATCAGGATGAAGTTAAGCCAGTATCTGGAAATGATCGGGATGAAATTAGGCGCAATATCTGGAAATGATCGGGATAGATAGTGAAGCAATAGAGCAACAGTTAAGGAATCTGATCTTTAAAAAAATAGCACACTAATTCATAAGTATTTAGCTAAAAATTGAGCTGTAAAATTTCTAGAATATCTGAATTTGAGTGGTTGGCTAAATGAAATGATAATTAAAAATAATGATAAAGATGGAATTAATAATTTGCACATACAACTTGAGCCGAGTAACTGCTAAATCGTAAATCTGGAACATTTTGGCGTATTGTAGAAAAAAATATCGGTTATAAATTTTTTATTACTCGGCTCCTTCCACTCACTTTTTCCAAAAATGCCTGGCCAATCTTTTTAAAGAAATGAGAATATCAAAGATTTCAAATGAAAACTTCTGATGAGACATAGAGATGATACTCTTAGTAGCAGTTAATAAAAATTTTTAAAATTATATTTGAAAATAAATAATCAATTAATATAGATATATTCAAGCAAAGGTTTTGTAGGATCAAATTTGGGTGGAATTGCAAGAAGTACGAATTATGCAACCAACAACGCAAAGACGTTTGGTTCGTCATGCATTGGAACCGAAGTGCAGTAAGTTTATCGTTTTAGGAGTGTATTTCAAGCGAACTACTACTGGTTTATTTCTATTGAATTTTTTAGCTTTGATTTAATTTTAATGAAGAGTTAATTGAGCAACTGTTACAGATTGTGACACATCAAATCGCTGTCCACCAGGTCCATCTGGTCGACCAGGCATGGATGGAATGGATGGCATGCCTGGTCAGCCAGGTCCACCGGGTGAACTTGGTGTTCCGGGAATTGCTGTACCAATTGAGCCACTGAAAGAATATGGCTCGTGTAGAGTATGTCCACCAGGACCAGCTGGTCATATGGGATATCCAGGACCGCCAGGTCCACCAGGAATACCGGTATTTTTTTTTAACATTTTTTTGATAACACCATTTGTTTCTAATTGTCCAACAATTTATTTAATTCACTGCATTCAATTGTATTTCAGATAAATCATAAAATAAAATTTTAATGATTTTATGAAGCTACCATTTCCAGGGAACACCTGGAAATGATGGTCTTCCTGGGCATCTGGGTCAACCTGGTCAAACTGGAGCGCCAGGCGAAAATGGAGAACCAGGGCCAGCTGGCAAAGAAGGACCACCCGGACCTCCAGGCCGAGAAGGAGTACGTGGAGTTCCAGGTCCAGCAGGAGAACCTGGTTCTCGTGGCCAAATCGGACCTAAAGGTTTTATGGGCCCTCCAGGGAATGCAGGAAGTCGAGGTGCACAAGGTCCATTAGGGCCACCAGGGGATGCTGGACAACCAGGTCAGATTTTGTTGTCTTTTTTGCAAGAGCTAGTAATAGTCTTGTGCATGATCAGTGCGCTTAAAGTACACTCAATAGCATCGTTTAATATCTGTAGCTTTATTAACTTTTGCTTGCAAACAGGTGTTAATAAGTGACAATATCATTCAGGTCAACGTGGATATATTGGAAGTATCGGTAGTCCTGGTCTCGCAGGTTCACCTGGTGAAGACGCCGGATACTGTCCATGTCCACATCGGCGTACAAAAAAAGTTGTCAAGGTGGCAGCTAGCACATCTAAAAAAGTGTGAAATTTGGGATTATGCTACATTCTGATGTAATAATTATTTCACAAAGTGGCAATCGTCAATTGATTTATTAGCAATAAAAAAGCATATCAATTAAAATTTACTTACATCATTTACCTGTCTCGTTTGCATCAACAAGTTTAATTCAAGTGAAAGCAAATTTAAATTTCAATGAGAACTGTGCATTCTATTAGGCATAAAAATATAAATTAATTGAGATTTTTTGACTTGAAATAGAAAAAATTTAAAAATTCATACATATTGAAAAAAAGAAGCAAAATAAAATTATCCCGTTAATTGTTTAATCGGTGATTTTTTCCCATTTACTTTTTCATCATTATTTAATATTTATGGTAGTACACTAATAAATCTACAGATAACTATGATAAGCTAAATGATGATTAAATGAACAAATTTTACGAGAAACAGAAGTTATTAATTAAATGAATTCTTTCTTAACTATAAATTATAAAATGTAGTATGAATTAAAATTGATTAAAAACCGATTTCAAATGTTTATCTTACTTAATGTTTCAATAAATAAATGATTACTGAAGCATCAAAATACAATTTATTTCCCGAAACATTTCATCATAAATGATACACAATAAAAAATTGTAATTATCGTTTTTTTTCTGAGAAAAAATTGAGGAAAAAAAAGTAGCGAATTTAATTTTTCGTTAGATTGCTTAATGCATTTGTACTTTATAGGAAATTTTTGTATGTTCATATTTCGTTTTTTCTTATTGCAAAATCTTTCATTAATATAGTTCAATACACAAATCATTGGATGTTAAGCAATTCTTGTTAATCGATATGCTAAGTAAACATTTATGATTATTAATTACGATTGGAAATCAAACTATTTCACCGATGAATCATATTGTAAACCTGAAAACAGAAATGGTGCATTTATCTATTTTTAAACGATGATAGTAGCAGTCAAATAAATTATTTCAGGTTCATTTAGTGGTAGATTATTCGAAGGTAATTTTATTTTTCATTTTTTTACAAAAAAAATAAATGAATTTGAATTTCAAATTTGAAAAAACTCCAGTGATTGGATTATTAAAAAGGTTTGATAATGTTTGGTAATATATTCAATGCACGGCAACGTCTTTGAGTTTAACTCTTTGTTACTATGAAGCGTGGGTAAAACGTGAGTTAAATAATTCAAGGATAGTCCGAAGAGAATAGTATGAAAAACGGAAATTAATAGACGAATTCACTAATTCTAAAACTGTTTCCCATTATATAAATAATATAGTGTAAAAATCCTCAGAACTAAAATTATAATTTCCAATTTAAATTTTACATTTATTATAATTGAATTTCCAAAACGAAAGAAAAGAACAACTGTACTGTAGTTGCCAGTTCGATTACCAGCTACGCTAATGAGGTGTCCCATTTTTTGAAAAAAATTTTAAATCTCATCATCCGATAATGTACATATGAGCATTTTTTTGAAAAAAAAATTAAAATTAAGCGATTATTTTTGATAGATAACATTTCACTATGCAATAAGTATATTTTATGAAGATTTAAGCTTTGCAAAGTGTACAACCGGTAGTATTTCTGATAATTCATGGCAATATATGATACCAAAAAAAAAAAATATTACATAATTTTTGGTCAATTCCATTTCTCTCAATTAAAGCTTGAAAGAAAAAACACATGCCAATTCCGTCGATTGCCATCAGTAGAATTATCATTTTAACTCCATCTATCCCTCATCATTCATTCATTCATTCATTCATTCATTCATTCATTC